CAACAAAGCGTAACACCTCTCATTTATTGAACATATAAGTAGGTCAGGGTTGAGATGATTTAAATTGATTAAAGTTTGTTAGAAACTTAAATATTTGTTAATAAAAGAAGTAGAAGTAGAACAATTTTATGTTAACAGTTATGTTTATTATAAAAATTAAAAAACAATTTAATTGCTTTTTACAAAAATACAACTTTTAAAATATTTTTAATACAAAAATTTTTCGTCTCCTATCTTTATTTTCGATCTTTCCCTTTTTTTCTACCCTTGCATACCAGTGTTATTGTTTTACTTTTATTTATTTACATACAATTCCGCTTCCATTTTATTTAAAGTTATCTCTAACTCCTCCTTGCTAGCTGCTAATACAATTATAACATCTGAAAATCTAAGCATACTAATATTTTGCCCCTGTATATCTATCTCTACAGTTTTACTGTTTTGAATGGTGTTGATCCAGTTTTCTAAGTATATATTAAAAAAGTAGCGGTGACAGTGTACATCCCTGTCTGACTTCCTTCCTAATATTTACTTCTCTACGTTGCAGCCCCAGCTCTATAACTGCCTGTTGCTCTTTATACAAACTAAGTATCTCTGTAACTCATTCCTACATTTTTAAGTACGTATATTTAACAGTAGGTACACTATAAATAGTTAGAACTAACATTATAAATGCGAATGTGAGTGTTTGTTTGCTACCAGTTGACGCCTTAATTACTCAACCGATTAACGTCAAGTTTTGTGCATACGTTGTCAGGGATACAGAAAAGGACATAGAATACCTTTTATCCAGAGAAATATGCCGTTCCCGAGGGATAAAAAAAATTAATTGTATGTGGTCGTCGATGATGTTTGACACGTATTTACATCAATAAAACATTAAATACTAAATTATATTCACTAAAAAAATAAACAAATTCGTGATTTTTTGAAAAATCATCATGTAGGTACGTCTTTCACAACTGGGGGTAGAAAAGTCGGTACCTGTTGCCACCCTGTTTAGACAACAATCTACGAGATAATCGGGTTTGATTGCCATAACGAAAAGAATAAAAACGAAAAAAAATAAAAGAACTAAAATCATTTTCACCCGGAAGAAATGCGGCGATTTAGCACAAATTTATTATTTCTATATTGTCTACATTTTTCAAAGTTCAATGTTATAATAGATATTGAAAATATATTCAGCATTTTCTTGAATTGGCAGACCTCAAAAAAGAAATTGTCTTCTGTCTTGCAATTAGCGAACAGTAGTCTCTACAAAAATTAAAAACTAAAACTTAATGTTACGGTTCGCAAATTTTATGGTGTAGGGGGTACTTTACTAAGGTCTTGGTGATGTCCCTTCATACACTTCCAGTTGTATATACCATAGAAGAAAATTTTAAATACAAAACATGTAAAGAAACATATGTACTACATTCGAGGGGTGATGTAATAAGTAGGTCAGATTTCTTATTCAACTAATCTAATAACGATATCCATTTCGCTGAAATTTTTCGATTAAAAGTATCTATCGGTTAGCTGAAGAGGCACGGAAGTGAGGCCGACATGCATTTTTAAGTGATTTAGGAACATCACTGTTATAGCGAAACGGAAAAGCTTGCGGTAACTTAATGCCAGCAAAGTGTAATAAATCTTGGTAATTGCATTTAAAGAGCCTTTGCGAGATAATTTAGATAAGTTGTACTTGAATCCTATTGTCTTCAATTTTTCCCAGACTGGTTTCTGGGTTAAAATTTACAACGGTAATGAACGAATTACGTTCAAATTATTTTCTAGAACTCACACGGAATTGAATTTTTTAGGTGCTAGAAAAATTAATTATTATTTTGGGTTTTTATTTTAAGTGGAACAAAATTGGGCAGGAAGGTTTATAGAATTTTTTATTATATGATTATGATGTGTTGTACGGTTTAGCAACGGGATATTTGAGTAGAAAAGGATTTAAGAATGTATAAAAGTTAAGGATAATATATTGTGATGTTCGGGCGTTTAACAAAATTTACTTCTACGACTAATAACAAACTATTTATTTACACTAATTATTAATATATCACTATTCACTGCGCTATTTATTTCACTGTTATCACTGTCAATTTATTTCTATTTTTTTTTGTCGGCGATCGTCTTTTCCTTTAAATACTCTTTTGTTTCCTTTCTGGAACCCTCTAGAAACATCCGGATCGTTTAGTTTTCCTTTGAACTGTTTAATTGCTTTCCTAGGACGCAGGTACGACATACACATTTACAAATACGGCGCACATGAAGAAAGGCGCCCGCGGCTAGTTGGCGAATCGATAAGCCGTCCATGAACACATGTGCCCGATCGCACACAAACACGCTCGTGCGCGCTACAATATCGGATATTCAAATCGAAGAAGAAAATGACAAGGGAAAGACGGAAAAAAGGAAAGAAAAACGTTTTAATAGAGAGAGAATGGGCGATCATGTACTACAAATGAAAACTGGAAAAAGATAGAAGTGTATGAAAAGAGTTGGAAAATTTAACTAAAGTCATTTATATAAGCAAAAAAGAAGAGAAAAAATGAGAAACTTAAGATTCACACATGAATATGAGAAAATATGAAAGGAAAGGGAGGAAAACTGAAAGGCGAAAGGGAAAAGAGTAAAAACGAATTAGTTTTAACAGTAAGACTCAGTCAGGAAATTGAGAATAGGACGGTAAGATACTGGGAAGAAGAAGAGAAGAAGATACGTAGGTGGCGTAAATTGGAACCAGAGACACTCGAACAGACTTTTGAGAGATATGAAATAACACAAAATGAGAAGGAAAATATCAGAAAACCGAGAAGAATAAGAACATTTAGTTTGTAAAATTTATAGGTTAGAATATGAATGAAAATGCACCTTGTACCTATATATATAAATACCTATGTTTTTAATAAAGCCATCTATCTACGACATATTTGGGTAAAAGCTTTATTTGTTAACTCCTTCTTTTACTTACGTAGTGGAGATGGTAATTAATTCTCTATAAATAGATTCGTGGTGGTATGAGTTCTCTATTTATGTCTCTCTATAATCCTCTGTACACAATTCTTGGTATTATAAGCAGAACATTTACTGTATTACGTAACCACATCAAAATATTTAGGGGAGGTATGTCAAACTAACTCGAGTTATTATGTGACGATGTGTGTCGGCGTGAAATGGCATTATCCACATTTTCGTGAAATTGTGGCATTCGCAATTATTCATCTTATTAGGAGGAATTTTGCGAAATCACGGCTGAGTCTTCTGTTTTCGCAAAATTATCAAGTAACATTAGTGAGATTTATGGAATTAATTCACATGTATGCTGTAGAGAGTAAATAAAATTTTAGTATAGTCCCTATCCACAAAATGAACTTAATGCAACTTTATAATTTGGTTAGTGGGTGAAACCATTTTACTCACGTGGATGGTCAAAAGACTGATCAATATATTTTTGAAGTGAAATTTCTTTATCTTCGTTTCATGCGAGTTGCTATGTAACGAAATCATGCAACGGATGTCTCGTAGTGGGAATCGCTTGAGCCGTGAGCGCGCTTCAATGCAACGCTCGTTACAGGCAACTCCGGCATGTATAGTGTAAAATTTAAATTCATAGTGTACAAATAATAACATTAAACCAATTCCTTAACCCCTATCCCGGTATGTTTGTGTGTTTGAAGAGATTTCACTTCAGTAGCGTGTTGTATAATTACACGTTGTATTTTTTTTATAAATAAGTAGGTACTTTACTTTGTATTATCTATCTATACTAATATTATAAAGCTGAAGAGTTTGTTTGTTTGTTTGCTTGAACGTGCTAATCTCAGAAACTAATGGTCATATTTGAAAAATTCTTTCAGTGTTAGATAGCCCATTTATCGGAGAAGACTATTGGCTGTATATCATCACGCTAAGACCAACACGAGTGGAGTACCAACGAAGAATGTTTCAAAATCGTTTTTTTTTCCTTTTGAGAGTTTTTGCTGCGTGCGCTGCGTAAACGGTTAAAGTTTCGCAGAAATCATGTGTGACAGAATTTTTCCCCTTTAAAAGTTCTAAAAAAAAGTCCCCGACAGCATATGTCTATCTTTTAAGGTTGGCTCACTATAACCTTTTTTATGCTAACCAAATTTGTTCTAAAATAATGCATTATTTGCGAACGTGTTTTTATAAACATGATTAATTATTAATTATATTAATCCTTATCCAAATAAATATATTATTCATATCTAAAATATCTCATTAATGTACGTAATATTGAAAAATATTTTCACCTTCTACGTAAACGAAGTCGAGGGTTAAAGTTAGTTACCGTTAGCCCAAAGTAACTATTCCACGCGGACGAAGTCGCGGGCCGAAGCTAGTTTAATATAAAAAAGCATTAGAAGAAATGAAGACTTTTGCCAATAACTTGAACTTGTTTGTTATTCATATTGCTATGATCTTTAATAACACTTGCATTTTGACGAACATGAAATAATGGCGGTTTTTCGCCAAATTGAACTCCTCGTGATGGCACTTATCCGTCCTATACTCGATTTGATTGAGTAAAGACCAAATAAATATTTTCATTTATACGACGATACGATTTTTTTTTCATTTGTCGACTTAGATAAAAATATTTCTTCGGAAATATTTATTAAAAACAGAATTATGTTACTTATCATTTTAGATATGCAGCACTACTTTGTGAATGTTTAGGAAGTTGAATTTGGTCCTTAAAAGTCCTTCAAGCAAACCTTTGGAAGAGCTTCAGTGAAAGACGGCTGACGGGAATTTTACCGGATGTACTGGAGTTAAGAGTAACATATAATAAATGAACTACAAGATTAAAATTTCAAATCAGAGTAATCTAAACCAACTGTAATTTAGTCTGCAATAGGTGCAAAATATTAAAAATAAAATGAATTGAGTTTGACCGAATTTTACATTCATGCCAGATCGAGCAAAAGCATAGTAAGAAGTCGAACTTGACACGAAGCAATCTAAATGGATTAACTTACCAGCAGAATATACTAAACCGGTAAATGTTCCATTAAATCCAATCCTTATTTTCATATAATCGTCTTGACATTCTGCTTCAATATCTGTAACAAAAATATATTTAATTGATATTATACTTTTTGTTGGGTAAACTAAACAGAATCTATCAATAAATACTTTTTGAAGTAATACACAAATAGCGGTCAATGACGGTTCACTAGAACCCAGAAAATTTTTTTTCGTTTCGAGAACAGATTTGGGGTTACTACCCTCATACATCTGTATAGACAAATTTTTATGAAAATAAACATTTTGCCTGTTTTGTCTAATATTATTCAGCATTCTAAAATGGGATATGTTCATAATATATCCACAATGGGCGAGAAATATAACTGAAGCCTGAACCGACTGGATCGTCCCTATTTTCTATACAGATAAAAAATTAATGACAGATTTATAGGTAATCAGCGTCTAAAAAATTTGTGTGCATAACTTTCTGGATATTTGGAATGATTTTAAGAATTTGGGGCTGCCGTATTGGATTTTTTCATTTCTAAAAAGTTATCAAGTCCGTAACCAGTGCTCTCAAAATCACTAGTAGACTAATATATATTNAAAAAAAATTTTTAAAAACCTTGTTTTTCTTGGTCAGGCCGGAAACTTATCAATCCACCCTCGTAGATAATCTGTTACATCAACATCCCGGATAACTGCCCGTTGGCGACGATGATGTTTGGATTTCATCGTCTTTGGCCGATGACCTGCATCGCAAGCAGTTGGATGTGTGGATGGCTTGCTTTTTTCTTAGATCTAAAGCCCTTAAAGTAATCCGTAACCCTTCTGTTTTTCTTAAAATTGTGGAAAAGTAAAGAGAAGCCATTTCATACTTTTAAAAACAAGATTGCATTGGTATGTTTTAAACAAGAATATTTTTGAGGTAGACAATTAAACAATATGTGCCTAATAATTCTGTCAGAATTAAGCATTTTTGTAAGTGTGTTCTAATGAAATAGAAAAACATCAGTAAATAATACACATCACACTCGAATAATGCAAGCAGTGAAGCAACAAATACAAAACCAATTTAATATAATTTAAATAGGAGAAACTTGAATTACAGACTAAGCTTTTTATAGGTATGATTATAACATGAAGAGAACACATATCGCATAAATTTTTGATTATTTCACTTGCAATTGCACCGGCTTTATCTTTATTGATTGTAAGTAGTTTATATTTACTTGAAAAAGTTTCTAAATTGTATATCGAGTTACAGTGCGCTATTTAAAAAATCTTACCAATCTTATTATCACCAACCGTCTACTATAGCTACAAGTCAAAAGATTTAATTCTAGCGTGAATTCATATCTACTGTTGTTTTGGTCTCAATTTTTCTTGCCACAAAATTTCAATTTTAGAGATTATTGTTCCTTTCAAAAATTAAACGTTACCTCCTAGAGGATTGAAATCGTGGATTTGAATAGAATATTGTTTAAATGAATCTTTAGCGGAGTTGGACAAAGTAAGTCCCAAGTAAGTATTAATTACTTCTGTAAATTTACGCTACTTTAAGTATGATGTATATTGATAAAAAACATGAAAGCCCATACTACTGAAATTACCAAGTTCAATTGATAAGTAGCTCAAGTACACTTCTTGTTAGCAAGGTGCAAAAAGCCAATTTTTGTTTTTCCACAAATACGGGCGTTTCTGGCAGATTCCTTTGCGTAAATTGCGCTTACTTCTTATTGACCGTTCTACCCTGTGCAAGAACTCATGGTGCATCACGCCCCTGCAGTCGAAGAAAACTGTAAGCAAAATCTTCACATTCGACCTAACTTGATGCGCTTTTTTCGGTCTTGACTCGTGCGATAGCTTCAATTGGGATGATTGAGCTTTGGTGTCCAATTAATAACCATAAACCCATGATTCATCACCAGTTATGACCCATTGGAGCAAATTTGGGTCGTTGCCGTTGCGATGTTGTTTTTGGTCGAAATTGAGCAATTTTGGTACGAATTTCGCGCCGACCAGTCTCATGCTCATTGGTAAAAATCGAGTGGCAGGAGCCAATTGATATGTTTAGGTCCTCAGTAACTTCTCTAGCGGTGATTGGACGATTCGCCAATACTATTTTGTTTCACTTTATCAATGTTTTCGTCTGTTGTTGACGGGCTCGGGCATCCGGCACGCTCTTCGTCGTTCACATCTTTTCGGCCCTCTGAGAACATTTTGTACTACCGATAATCGTTGCTTCGGCTCAAGGTAGCTTTTTAATGGTTAACGCAGGTGTCGCTAATGTAGATGGGAATGTACATGTGAACTGCCTTTATAAATAGATTGAATGTTTGAATTGTTTCTATTGCTGTTTACGTATGATGAAGATTGGTAATCCAATGACACGTGTATTTAAAAATCAGTTTATGTACTTCTTAAGCAGTAGGAAATGGAAGACAACCGTTTATGTTCATTAGTTCTCATTTTAATATTAGTAATTTTATACATCTCCATAATATTATGACGGCCTATTCAATGGTATTATTTCAAAATCAAGCCATAAAAATTTACAGACTACATGCTTTTTTCCATTCATCATCATAAGGTTGTCAGTCCTAAGAATGGTTGGACAGGCATCTCTACTCTTTCCTATCCTGAGCTAATCTTCGCATTTCCCTAAAACTCGAACAACCCACATCCTTAACTATTTGCGAACAGTAATCTAATTTATGTCTACCTTTACCCCTTCTAACTTCTGTTTCTGCCTCTAATATGTCTCTGACTAGACCTTCATGCCTGGGAAGGTGTCCTACCAACCCATTTCGCCTATTTCTTATTGATTTCCATAGAATCCTTTGTTCTCCCATTCTTTCTAATACCTCTTGATTTCTAACCTTCTCTATCCACGGTATTCTCATCATTCGCCTGTAACACCACATTTCGAACGCTTCTAATCTTTTCTTTTCCGATGCGCCCACTGTCCATTATTTTTAGCATAATTAAAATCAACTCCTATGTAACAGTAGTATTTTGGCTATTTAAACATAAAACTCATACTTAATTGATTAATCCTGACAAATGCTTAGGCCCATAGGTATCTAATTAGGCTATAAAAAAGATTTTCTATTCTGTTTTTTTTTGTGTGCATGCACTTAAGACTGATTTGAATTTGTACAAATTCTGATGGTACTTTCAAATTTACTTTTAAGGAGATTTTTTCACCACATCCATTTAACTATTAACAAAGACGATGCTTTTGAGTCAATTTGTTAAATTAACATTTATAGTTGGTTGAGGACAATACATATCAAGGTTTAGATACTCATTAGTTAAGTTTAATTCATTTGGTTTATTTTTTGGATTTTCCTTGTGTATGATACATCTTTATCTTATACAACGATAAATCAACAGGAGCAGACATATATTTTAGCTAGTATTGGTCTATAAGGTGAAGGATTCCTTGGGGCAACATGTTGATCTAAGTGTCTTTATGGGCTATCTCGATAATCTATTGAGGTCATTCTATTGACCGAATTACTCGCTTACAAGGATCAAATTTTAATGCTGGGTGAAATAGTAACTCACAAGTTTCGAAATACTTACAAAATTTAAGTGAAAAAATTCTACGAACATTTACCACCAAAATTTATTTGGTGTATAACTAAAAAATTAGTATATTGTCATTTTTCACTGTAAATGCCGGCTGAAGAGGACCTTAAAGTCCTAGAGGAGTTTTAGTCAGTCGTACGGCCGGCTGGATGTCTTTTGAAGATCTCTTTTCTTCCACGAAAACAAAAAAAATTGTAAATGAATTTTCGCTTGAACTACAGGTAGGTATTAGTACTTTAAAAACACAAAGCTTCAAAATATTTTTTTTGTAGACACAATATTTTTTGAAACTTTATATTCTCCATTCTGATAATTTTGTGTCAAGTTTTGTATTCTACGTAAAAACTGGTTCTAAGTATCTGTGGAACCTGAATTTATAATAATAAGTGGAGCGTTATGAATTTCTGCAAATGAAAATAAAACCGTTTGTGTAGATTGAAGATACTTCACAAACGTTGGTTATGCTGTTTCTAAGGCAAATAAGAACTGTTTTCAGACCAGAAGTTATTCATATTCAAAGCCACAATTCGTTTCGGTTAACAAATAATAATAAAAGGAAACGCATTCTGTTGCAATTTTACTGCTAAATTGAATTCATTTACAAGAAACAGCCAGGGGCGGCTCTGCCAAGTTGTTCAGGTGCAAAATATCATTGTGGAGCTCTTAATGTACAGTCGGTTATTCTGATTAAACTGACCATAGAGACTGAACATACATGTACAGTCGAACTTCGATAACTCGAACTGCGATGTGACACATAAAAACTTCGACTCATCAAATAATACTTCTTTAATTAGTATTTCTTTGTGAATGAACATTTATGTATTTACTATTAACAGATTTTTAATTAACCCCTGGATATAGGTAAGTTCTGCCTTCTTACCGATTTAAACCACTCTAAAACTGCTTTGTCTTGTCTTTTCATACACAGGCTTTTTTAGCCACTTGCACTATCATTTTCCACTGCGGTGATAATTGAGTGCTTAGTCTTTAAAATAGTAGAAACTGTACTTGCCGGAATACCGTACTTCAAAGCTACATCTATATTTCTTGAGTCACTTTCCACTTTCTTTATAAGCTTAAATTTTTGACCAACAGACAATGTTTTTAAAGTACGTTTTGATGACATATTGACACACGCAAAAATGTCTTTAATGTAATATATAAATGAAATAGGTACAGTATTTTTTACTTATTGTTAGCAGTAACTAGTAAATCAAACAAGTGAACTTAGCAAGCGCAGAAACTGAACTGCCTGCATAAAAACGTTAAAAAAAATATAGGTTAAAATCGACGTTATTACGGGATTCCCCCAGAAAATTCGACTTATCAGGGCAGACCCGTAATCGAACCGGCGTCCTTCCGAATGCTAACCGAGCGGCATGGCCTAGAGGTCTAGACCATTGCTTAGCATTTGGGAGGACGCCGGTTCGATTCCGGGTCCGTCTGCCTTGGTCTGTTTTTCTGTGGTTTCCTTGGATCACCTAGGCAAATGCTGAGGCAGTAATATTCCACAGATAATCTTTCATTCTCTTCTGTCTTCATTTCGTCCGTCTCATCTTTCTCACCCGAACCACCACCCACCCATTCCCACGATTCCTGAAAGCAGGCTGAAGAGGGCCTTCCGCCCTACCTTCCGGCATAGTCCGGAGGGACTGCCCGCCCACCAGCATTACTGGCAGGTGGGAATGAAACACCCAAAAGTTTTTTTTTCTTCGAATGCTAAGCAATGGTCTAAACATCTAGGCCATGCTGCTCAGTATAGGTCACAATATCGCCGAACTAATATATATAGTAATATAATATTTGACAGAGGGGTGAATCACGATCTTGTATAACACTATTTACTTTTTTCCTCCCTGAAAAAGTATGCGTCAAGAATTCTATTATTATTATCATCGTATTCCCTGCAACCACCGGAAATACCATGACGACTTGAAAGTGCCCAAATACCACAGCAGCTATGGTGGTATTTCCATGTTATTGCAAAAATGCCAACTTGTTGATTAGGATGCCCTTTACTTTTTCAGGGTTAAATATAATTTTGCATTTAAAATATGGACCTTCTTGAACAGCAACATTAATTTTATAACAGAGTTAATTTAGGTGAGTATATAGGATAAGGTCAAGTTGTATTAAGGTGCTTGGGGTTTATTTCTTTTGGAAACGCGCCTTACGATGGCGGCATTTGCGGTTGCCCATGGAAGCAACGTCTTACGCGATGGGGCAAATCAAAGTTATGCAATGGTTTGATTGATGCTTGTTTTGTATAGTGTCTTATTTGTACTACAATGTTACTATTTCCTTCATTTATGTTGAGTTATTGAAAATAAATAAAAAATATAGATAAGTCTTACGTTGAACGCGGGTATTATTCCATCTGAATCGCCGGTAGTCTCTTTCCCAGGCTTCAATTGGATGTTGCCAGTCTAGTGCCGTAGCTGATGGTGCTGAAGCGGCTGACACTGCAGTTGCTTGCCTGGTCTGTAACGATGGAAGTGAGAGATAGCCCGGTGCTGATGAATCTTCAATAAACACAACCTGGAAAAATAAACCCAACTTGAAAATTGTTTCCGAGTGTCGTCTTCAAAATAGAGATGATTTTTAACAGCAGTTTGAACTGCACTGCGACATGTATTTCGAGATAGAAATATAACCAAAAACTAGGTTAACCTGATTTATGTGAATTTATTGCAAGAGTAAAAAAGAACCTCAAATTTTAGCTTGTAATTTATTAATTTGAAAGACCGTAGAAACTGGTGCGGAGTTTTTTTAACAAACTAAGTCCTAATTTTTTATTAATTCATGTTCATCCATTAGTTTCAGACGAGTGATCTTAAATGAATTGATTTTAATGCTCTCTAATAGTAGTCACCTTGTTAGACAAAAGGTACTTTGCTTTAAGAAGCGTTTGATAATGGTTTTAGATAATTATATTGATTATTCAATAAAAATTCCATTAGTAGGTATCTACTTTTACTTTTAACAAGAAGAATAAACTGCTTTAGAGCAATTTAAAAAATTAACCAATGTGTAAGATTGTACAGTTTTATTTTAAATAGGTAAGCAGATGGCAATCAAACCTACAAAAAAATTAATTCTGCAAACAAAAGGATAGTGATATAGTTGTTAAGGTAGTTTACATATAAACCAACTTTTTAATAAATTCAGTGAAGTGGGAATGCCTAGAATATTAACATATTTTTACATATGTATATAAAATACCAGCGATGGTTATAATGTCCATTTAAATGAAGGTTAATTTGTAATAATTAAGTATTAGGTCCTTCCGTTTTAGTATTTATCTATTTCTTGCAGTTCCATCGGAGAAAGGGTCACCGGAATCGTACCGGTGACTAAGAAGCTATTCACCGGTACTGTACCGGTACTTAAGAAGCTATTCACCGGTACCCAAATGTTCATTGAAATATTATTAATTGGTGCTGGAAGTCATCCATAGGACACCTTCTTACATGATTTTTGAAACTATAAGCCTAATGAGCATAGTGCATTTAGACTTATTTAAAAATCGTTTAAGGTGGGATGCACTTTTTTAAACTAAATTAAAAAAATCAATTCAATTATTATTAAATTTAATTATTTACAATAAATGAAGCATGAATTTAATAGTTTAATTCAGTGCAATGTGCAACACCAATAAAGCATTCTTTATAGCTGGGTACCGGCGAAAAACGTTTCTGTCACCAGTACAGTACCGGTGAATAGCTTCTTGGTCACTGATACGGTACCGATAAATAGACAGATCGATTTCTTTTAATAGATTGGTTTTCACTACTTTGACCATTATATTAGTAAAACCATGATGACCCTCGAGAGCCAGAAAAATGTTCAAGGCGAGCTGCGGGTTTGTCTAAATTCTAGAAATTTGCAATTTTCCACAGACGTTCCTAATACAATGTAGTACAAAGAGAAGATTTTTTAAATTTCAACGGTAAAAGGGGTGAACAGGGAGTTCAAAGTTTAATGTATCGATCAAGGCATAGCCCAAAGTGCTGAGTGAGGAAGCTTGAAATTTTACAATCCAAATTATCACCTCTACAGACTGTTAAAGGTGTATGTTTAGAGCGCGGTGCTGTACGAGTGCGAAACATGGACGGTGGGCGCTGCGGAAAAGAAATGGCTAGAAGCGTTCGAAATGTGGTGATGAGGATACCGTGGATAGAGAAGGTTACAAATGAAAAGGTATTAGAAAGAATAGGAGAACAGAGGACTCTACGGAAGTCAATAAGAAATAGGCGAAATAGGTTAGTAGACACCTTCTCAGGCATGAAGGTCTAGTAAGAGACATTAAACGCAGAAATGGGAGTTAGGAGGGGTAGAGGTAGGCCTAGATTAGATTGCTGTTCGCAAATAGTTAAGGATGTGGGTTGTTCTAGCTTTAGGGAAATGCGAAGATTAGCTCAGGATATGAGGAGTGGAGTCTAAGGACTGACGATCGTATGATGATGATGAAAGGTGTAATATCAGGGAAGACATTTAGTTGGTATTTTGTAATTCCTTTAGTTGGGTATTGGACCAAGTTCACTGAAATAGCGCTCACAATACTGCGGAGATAAATTTTCGTTCCCAATTATATAATTATTCGTTTGCAGCGTTTGGCATACTAACACAGTCACTTAAAAGACATATATGTATAAGTACATTAAGTACTTAGTATTAGTCCGTAAACAGAGCTGAAACTGTGACACATTCTTTTTGCATACCTGCCTCACATTTATTAACGAAAAAAGATCGTGCTTTTAGTAGGCTCTGTAATTGGCGTACCCAAAGACATTTGAGTGAATAATTTCTCGGTAATGGTGTATAGTATAGATGTACAACCGGGAAAGTGAATGAATTGACCATGAAATTCGTGCAGAATATTTCGCTTTGACGGGCATTAAAAACGAAATTAATGGTTTACATGTATATAATATATGCAGGTTAGAGGAAAAGCGGAATGTAAACATTACGCACGTGTGCACATATGAATAGATTGTACAAACTTTCATTTTTGAAGTGAAACTTCTTTACGCACGGTAGGGTAAGTTCGTTTCATGCGATTTGCTATGTAACGAAATCATGCAACGGATGTCCCCCCCTACTCGGCCACGTAGTCGAGTTCGTAGTGGGGATCGCTTGAGCCGTCAGCGCGCTTCAATCCAACGTTCGTTACAGGCAACTCCGGCATGTACAGTGTAAAATTTAAATTCATAGTGTACAAATAATATCATTAAACCAATTCCTTAACCCCTATCCCAGTATGTTTGTGTGTTTGAAGAGGTTTCACTACAGTAGCGTGTTGTATAATTACACGTTGTATTTCTTTTTTTTTATATACAGAAACATTTTGAAAGTTTTCATTTTAATCCGTTGGCTCATACATATATACGTACGTGTGTACCTTTAAATAACTACCATAGTTTTCGTATATGTTTAAAGGACGTCTGTAAAGCTAGCAACTTAAAGTGAACAAGATTGAATAATTTTTTACTGAAAATTTAGTGCTAATTGAGCGCCAAAGGAACTTGACGCTCTTTTGTGAACTTAAGAAATCCATATATACAATCGAACAAAATAATTCGAAGTGGTCTGTATTCTGTAGTACGATGCTACATTTTGGGATTACGTATGCTCCAACAAGGTCCATTTAAATATATGGATATCTACTAGCTGAAACGAATCCCGGCGTAGCTAACCTCAACGTGATAGGCATGTTACGTAATCGAATAAAATTATTCGAAGTGGTCTGTATTCTGTCGAAACTGTTAGACGCGGATCGCGATTTCGATCTTTTTGGATCTCATCAGCGCGACGCAGGCAGCTCCGACAGAACACAGACCAACCTTTACCTGCTGTCTTAACAGCCTACCACGTTGAGGTGAGCTACGCCGGGATTCGTTTCAGCAAGTAGATATCCATATTTTTTAATGAACCTTGTTGGAGCATACGTAATCCTAAAATGTAGCATCGTACTACAGATGGCGCTCACCACGTCATTTGTGGTATTTTCCATATATACAATGCTTGCTTTATGTAATGCTAATAAATAAATGCTGATAATAACAAAAACAATAAATTTACTGATTCATTTAAATTATGGTAATTAACTATCAGCACTTATCGAGTACTTAATTTATGATACAGAATTACTAAGAACCTGAAAACTTAAGTAATTAAAAATTGTAAATTAAATAAACAATGTTTATTTCGATTACATCTTTTTTGTTATTATTATCAGCATTTATTGAGCACTTAACTAACAAAAAAATGTAGTGCTTGGATGCTGGGAATCAAATAGAGAGTGCTCTTTCTTCGACTGGTTGGCAATGTAAATATTAATATTTATTTTGTTTATCCCTTCTTTTTACGATTAGTCCCTTCATTTAGGACTTAATAATTAAGACGAAAATATACTGCTTGGACGCTTATCGAATCAAATAGACAGTGCCCTTTATTCGATTTGCCGGCATTGTTCGCAATGTAAATATTGATGTTTATATTTTTTATCTGTTTTTTTAGTCGTATAATCAACACTCAGTAAGCACTAATTAGGCTTAATGATTAACTTCACCTGCCAATTCTTTATACGTTTTTGCTTTATATAAAGCTCGCATTGTATGGTTTTCTTAAGCTCCCAAAAGAGCATCAAATTTGTAACTTTGACACCAAATAGGCACTAAATTTTCAACAAAAAATTATTCGATTTTGCTCGCTTTATAGTGCTAGCTTTACAAACCTGTTTAAATGCGAGTACGCAACTGAATACTTATAATTTTTGAATGCTTTAATTAAGAACAATAAATAATGGTTTACGACAAGCAATTTCCGTTTATTAATTTAATTAAATAGATAATTACTGCCCGGCAATAATCAACGCCTCATGTTATCGGATAACTAATTTGAAACAATAGCCTTTAATTCCCGTTGTTGGAAATAACTACAGGGTGGCCCATGTAAGATTTATTTGTAGGTACCTACTTGATTGACAATATTGATTGATACCTATAAGGCAATCGCCGTGAAATTTTCTTATCATTTGTAAAAACGGCGGTCAATATACGTACGTATGTGTCTTACTCTTTCAACAAATTTGAAAGTAAGAACTCACTATTAGAAATGAGTTAATTTAGTACAGTAAAAGTTCCTTATTCACGGTTTCCTTATCCGCGTTTTCATTATTCGCGGGTGAAAAAATTGCAACCCATTTCCTGTATTCACGGCTAAAAATTTCATCATTCGCGATTACAATCTGTAAACAGAAAAGGATTCGGTGTCATTTATTAAGGCGATTGATCGCAATAGACCGCTCATGCCTAATGTGAATTTTTACGAAAACATGCGTTTCTATTCTAAACATTATGATTTAACGCTGCGAGATAAATATCTGATTTTTTGTATGGTAACAGACAAAGGTTTACACTAACTCGGTACCTTTTTGGTTTTCAATAATATGGTCATTAAAAGTTTGTACAAGTGCGTACAGTTGATGCTGCTTGTAGGGCACATATTTTCAATAGAAATTAAAAAATGGCCTTCAA